TCGAACCTGTTCAGAAACAGGGTCGAGGGGGTACGGCTTTTCGGAAACACCGTACCCCCTCCGGTTCTCAGTGGGGGTGGGAGAGGGGGTGCGGCATTCTCGAAACGCTGTAGCCCCGCTCCCGCCCCCACCCGGCAACCGAAGGGGGTACGGCGTTTCTGAAACGCCGTACCCCCTCGGCCCTGTACGTGAACAGGGTCGAGGGGGTACGGCGTTTTGAGAACGCCGTACCCCCTCCGGTTCTTGGTGGGGGGTGGGAGTGGGGGTACGACGTTCTCGAAACGCCGTACCTCGGCTCCTTTCGCCTCTTGGCAACCGAAGGGTGAGGTACGACATTTTGAAAACGCCGTACCCCCTCTGCCCTGTTTGTGAACAGGGTTGAGGGGGTACGGCGTTTCGGAAACGCCGTACCCCCTCCGATTCTCGGTGGGGGTGGGAGCGGAGGTACGGTGTTCTCAAAACGCCGTGCCCCGTCCAGTTCTCGGAGAGGATAGGGAGGTGGGGCGCATGGCGTTCCCAGAACGCCGTAGCCCGGCCCCGTAGGTGGACAGGGTCGACGGGTGCGGCGCTTCGAAACGCCGTGCCCCCTCGCCCTTGCTTCGCTGAACCGGACGGGGTAGGGCGTTTTCAGAACGCCCTATACCATGAGACACTCGAATGCGTCGGCGACTCACATGAGGCGATGGTGGAAGGTTTGAAATCTGAATATCATCCGTTCCTTCGTTTGGAATGTGCCTGCCATCAGGAGGAGCATCTGCTGTCCCAGAAAACAGAGTCTACAACACGTGCACAATCTATAGAGATAGGGAGTGGGCCCTTGATTGGGTGGGGGGGCTACACGAGGCGGGATGTGGGGCCGCTGTGTTTCTAAGGAACGCCTCGGGTGACGACTGGTTCTGTGTTGGAGGGATTATTAAATCCGAGGATGAGAGGGTGGACGGGCACGGACGAAAGTTCAGGAGCTTTTTCCTCACAACGGTGTTCGACGAACAAGGAGTGGACCATGCGAAGGCCGACCGTAAAGTCAGCCTTGATTACAATCTGTTCAAGGGGTATGGCGGTAAGGCTATTACCATGAAAGCCTTCGATGTGTCCCCGAAAGAAGACGGGAGTGTGTTGACGATTCCTCGCCAAAACGAACGGCTACAAGAAATCCGGAAACAGTCCCACGGTTGAGGCCGGGCATCGTATGTCACCGACATTCGTGCCTTTTGACACGCCGGACGGGGATCTTCCCGGTATAGCAATGACAGAGAGACAGAGGACGCCACATAGTTTTCCAACGCAGCAATACCACCCCCGACGCCCATCGTCATCGTCGTCATCAAGCTCCCCTGCGTCAGCGGCAATATCGATGCAACAGCATTACTGCCACCTACACCTCCTCTTCCGACCTTCTCCCCGCTGCCGCCTTCCAAGGAGTGTTCCTCCTGCTGCTGCTGCTGCTGCAGCAGCTGCTGTTGTTGCTGGGACACGGCGGCTGCAGCAGCACCAATGATACCGGACAACAACGAGCCAGCCGTGCCCGCCATCGACACACCCGCGGAAGAGACGGCCGGCGACATAGGCGCGGGACCGGAGGCCCCAGCGCCGTTGGAGTGGCTGGGAATCCTTTCCAGTCCCGCTGCCGCAGCCATTCGCACTAGATCGTCCGCTATGCCCGCAGCACCACCGTTCTCCATCCCGCAGATCCCCGCGCCAAAGCCGGCGCCGCAACAAAAAGAGCCAGTCGCGTCGTCCACCAGGCGAGGATGAGCATGGTCCTCCTGTGGGTTCGTCCCGCCGGATGGAGTGTGCTGGACCATCTGAACCGTCCAGCCAGCAAGACCAAGGCACCCCTGTCATCACATACAAAAGGAAGGCCCTGGGAACTCGTCCCTCTCCCAGTTGCCAAAAGGACGGAGGTGGTGCGTTCAGGAAGGCGGCTCTGCGGGAGATAAGCGAAGGATCGGACGAGGAAACAGAGGACGATTCTAGGGTATGTGTTGATCGACATCCACAAGGTAATCATGCCGTCGAGGATGACGAATGTGGTGTCGAAGAGGACGATGTCGAAGAGGAGAACAGCGAGAGGGAGAGAGAGAGAGAGGATCGTGAGGAAACTATGCACGACTGCGAGGGTGGGGAGTCTCAACAATACTATGAGGAGGACGACGGGGGCGATGGAGAAAATGATCATGCCTATCCTGTACGTGATGACGATGGACGCCAAGAGCGGTCGGCTGATGTGGGGGTCGACGACGCAACAGGAGATCGGTCGGAGGCCAGTGTCCAGAAAAGGAAGCGACAATCTTCAACAAGTCCAACGGCGGCGGCGGATAAGCGCGCTGCGAAGAAACTCACTGTCGATAGGCGCTCAAAGCTTCTCAAGAGGCGGTTGCTGAAAGCGCGAAAAAACGAAAAGAGTCCACGTCGACAAGGGCGACAAAAGTGGAGAAACGTCCACTGAAAAGAAAGCAGATGGTGGATGAGGGTGACTCTGGAGAGGATGCCGAAGGGGTTCCTCCAAGAGATGTGTCGGAACAGACACAACCTTCCGCCGACACCCGTGATGAAGCCATCGACACAACACGGTGCTTCTTCTTGGAGTTCGATGAAGATGGGTTTGCAAAGAAGAAAAGGGAACACATTGAAGTGGATGTCACGAAGATCTTGCCAATCCCTGAAGGTGACATCCTCTTCAACCATAGAACGTTGGACAAAACGTTGGTGCAGTCCATATATGATGCGATCCATCATGCGGCCAAGGAAACCAACGGGAAGTGGGATTTCATGACTTTCATCCTGGCTCCCATTGTGCCCAACACGGACGGGTCTCAAGGCAGACGGATCACACCGGAGCAATTCGACGTCGAACTGGCTCATACATACAACTGGTATGCTGTCGCTGGCCAGCACACGGCTGAGGCAATGAACAGACTCATTAAAGACAAGTCACCGACCGAGAAAGTGTATGGCTTGAGGTCATACTCTCACGTACGTGTTGTCTACTTTGACGATGACAGAAAGAGAGGATATCCGTACGTCTCGACGTTCGACAACACGAGGGAGGAGCGCTCGATCCCGAGATCCTTTTCGTCGTCCGTGCGCCAAATCAGAACATTTTGGGATAAGAGGAATGGCCGGATCCGTCCGCCAGGGACCGTGTCCCCGAATGACGTCGAGGGGATGAAACGGAAAAAGAAATGGGAAGAGTTCATGAACGCCGTCTGCAAAATGACACCTGATTCCGGTCTCATGAACTCGTCCCTGGAGAACGACTAGTGCAAGGACTGGACGAACAAGATGCGCGGATACATGAATCTTGCGCAATGCGGCGAAACAGTATGGCCACTAGTGCAGAAATTCTTCGACATGTACGAGAAGGGGCTATTGTCGCGAGTCGACGGTGTGAGATACATCGACCTGCCGGGGAAAGTGGAAGGGAGGCTGCCTGGGCAATACTTCCTCAAGGACAACTCCAACAAAAAAGTCCTGTTCCACTACATCAAGGCCAGGAAGGGGCCACAAGGCGCAACGGTGCCTATACGTGACTTGACGCCGACAAACTTCTAGTTGTTCGGCGATATGACAGCGAGAGAGAAGCAAGTGGCGCTTCACCACATGATGCGTGGTGATGTCATCGTCACATCACGTTCGGTACCTTGTGGTAGATGCAACATGGCGGACCTGGTTAAATATACTCGGAGTGAAAGATATATGGTCCGTATGTTCAACTACAAATTGTTCAAGGCCGAGGGGAGGTCAAAAGAAGAGTGGAGCGCTGACTTTTTCATCGGTTATACGACCATCTTGGAGAGGTACAGCAAAAACGGCCTGACGGACGAGAAATGGACCGAGGAACGCGACCGCACCCAAGGCATGTACAAGGAAACCCCGTTCCACCTCAAGTGTTTCATCTACGAGGCAATCGACTGCTTGGACGACCTGAGAGCGGAGGTTAATCGGATATCCTCCAGTGCTTGTCACATATTTTGGGAAGTGGGGAAGAGGATTACCACGATCTTGCCATTTGAAGCAGAACCGAAGGGAGTGCTCACCGACAACGAGGAGGTTGTTGGTACGGCGAGGGGGATGAAGATGCGGGCAACCATTCTTGATATGTCAACATCACCGAAATGTGTTCCGTGGGATGATGACGCCTTTTCCAAACTGTACGCTTTCCTCATGACATGCTGTGGTGAAAACTGGGCCTTGATCATTTTCGCGCTGACGAAACACCAGAAACATGTGATGCAGAGTGTGTACAACTGGGATGATGTTGAGGTGCTCACAGAGTCATGGTACAAACACTATACACCTTCGACAACCTTGAACAAGTACGGCAACATTGCAGTTCGGTACACTGGCATGATGGCTATTGTCCTCCACACCAAGAACAACAATTTTGACAATATAACGGTTGCGCCGAAATTGCGAGCCGAGTTGACAAATTTGAACGTTGAAGAGGGTGAATTTGTGAGGTGCTCAGGGTCGTGTATCGGCGTGGAGGGCGACACCGACGCAGTTTATTCTTGGATGGAACGAGAGTCAGCACGTCTCCGAAAACTGTGCAGCTCGTTCATCAGGGAGGACGATGGCGTGATGCTGTTGGGCAGGGCGCATGCGGGACTGATTTGGGAACTTGCTCGCGCCGAACACCACGTGTTTGCGTGTATCGACACGACAAAAAAACTCACATACCTTTCCAAGTTTTTTGAGTTTTATATGAAGGATCCGAGGAATAAATGCAGGTTCGAAAAGCACCAAGTCGAGCATCGCAAGGACCGGGACATTTACTATAAGCTCGGCAGGAAAAGGGAGAAGGTGTGGGCCTGTGTAACCGGTTGAACGCGCAGAATGCGCGTGCACGTTCAAACGCGCGCGTTCATGCCCCTCTGGGCCGCGTTCAATCGCGTTCAAACGCGCTATGCGCGACGGAGCGCAAAAAAATTGAACGCGACCCGGGGGGGGGGTGCGCGCGCGTGGAGAACTATGGAAATTCAAAAAATGAAGTAAAAAAAAAAAAACACGAAATACCCCCACTCAAACATATACACACAAAATTTACACACACACACATATGCACTCCTTTTTTCTTTTTTTGTTTACGGCCCAATCAGGCTATCTGAAGGTCTTTTTTTTTTTTACGGGGGCGTAAGGGAATCTCTCCCGCTCAGACGGCCCATACAGGCTATATGAAGGGGCCTCACAGCCTTGTTGCGCAGACCCCCCCACCCACCAATGCCAGGGCAGGCAGTGAATATGAAATGGAGCACGAGCTGGCCGAATATATACTGTATGTTCGAATTCAGGTCTGTGTTTCAACAGTTATGGGTTGCTCACGTAGGTAGGCTGTAGCTAGTCTGTGCACGTGATTCTGAGGGCTTGGCTGCACTACTCACCAAATGTGAAAAACTAAAATGAATCTTCTGCAGAACATGGAATAATACGTCGCCATATGTTTTGTCTTTTCTCGTTTTTCTTGTTTTTGTTTTTCATTTTTCTCTTTTTCATTTTTCTCGTTTTTCTTTTCTTAGGAATACCTGCAGTGGCCCTAAGGGCCTCTACTCATCATAGGCAGAAAAAACAAAACATATAACGACGTATTATTCCATGTTTTGCAGAAGATTCATTCTAGTTTTGCACATTTGGTGAGTAGTGCAACCAAGCCCTCAGAATCACGTGCATAGAATAGCGACGACCTACCTACGTGAGCAACCCATAACTGCTGAAACACAGACCTGAATTCGAACATACAGTATATATTCGGCCAACTCGTGCTCCACTCCATATTCATTGCCTGCCTTGACGTTGGTGGGTGGGGGTGTCTGCGCGACAAGGCTGCGAGGACCCTTCAGATAGCCTGTATTGGTCGTCTGAGCGGGTGAGATTCCCACACCCCCCCCCCAAAAAAAAGGAGGACCTTTCATTGCTTGGCTGAAACACACACT